AATTAACATAATTTTCTCAGGAGGTTAACACAACCTTTGTTAGCATTAAATTAGCATATTCTTTCTGAATACAAAGTTAATATAATCTTCCTCAGCATTAAACTAATATAATCTGTGACTCCTACATAAATTATGCCGATACAAAAATATTGGGTTCGTGGTATTGTCTTGTTTTTCTATATTGCGATTAATGTTCATGGGGGCGCCTGTAACTCCAGAACAGCACAAATTAAATATTTCTGGTTCCACATTTGGAGTATAATGTCTTGGGTTCTTGAACTCAAGTTTTCTGCGCACATTCATGTTTACAGATCTAGCTTGTTTGTATGCAGACGGTTGGGGTACACGACCTCTCAGGCACTGTGGGTCATTCCGATTTTGAAGGAAACACCCCTAATTAGTCACCTTTGACGACATGCCTGTGACGGGATGGTGGGTCCTGGAACCCACACAGCGAGACTCCCATTCAGTACGAACAATTAATACCTTTGAGATGCTGCAACTCTGACTTGGATTTCTTTCATTTAAACAATGAGATCTTTGAAAATTAATTGAAAACAATCGAATAAATAAATAGAGTGAGCACATTTCTCGAAATACAGTGATCTGTCAGTCTGTCTGTAAGAAGCCATGTCTATGCTAGATTTCTCTAGCCCCGTGGATTCCCGTGCAAAGGCATTCTAGTTATTTTGTCCATTATGGAATCGTGTAAAAATTAATTGAAAACAATCAAATAAATAAATAGAGTGAGCATGTTTCCCTAAATACGGTGATCTGTCAGTCTGTCTGCACCAAGCTACGTCTCAGCAGGAATGCCTCACAATCGTCTGGTTCTGAAAATTATTCATTTTGATTTTTTCTCAGAGACTTTATTTTGTTGGGACGATGTGTAAGGCACAGATGTGGGTATACCGTCAGAGTCGAAGGAATCGATTGAGGTCAAACTGCTGGAGCTCTTCAAGGGTCGCTGTGACAGGCGGAGGTTCCAGTTGAGGCAGACAGACAGGCCGTCAAACCATCGGCAAATCTGATCGCGGGCGCATATAGAAGGCACTGGGTACATGGACGTGGTTACTCTCAAACTGTGAACAAATGAAAAGGGGAATATAATGTTGGTTTCGGGGTCCCATTGCGGGGGAGAAATTTATCACTAGTGTGAAAAGGCATTGATGAGGTATCTGAGTTTTTTTCTTTTTCTGTATTCTTAACCCTTTAAAAATAAAGTTTGTTCGTTCGTATGTATGTATGTTATGCTATGTTACGTTATGTATGTGAGTGTGTCTGTGTATGTATGAGCATGTAGGAATATGTGTACATGTGTATTTCTGATTATGTATATATGATGTGAGTATGCAATATTTCATTTTGTATATTTTTATGTAGGCATAACATACACTACTGATTACAAGTCTGAAAGATGCTTGCTTGGAAGGGCTGAATATAAGACAGGCATACGTGCCAAATTTGTAACCCTCTGAAAATAAAGTTTGTTCGTTCGTTCCTTCTTCTGCTTTGTGCTCATCGCCTTAAACTTTTGGAAAGTTTTTTGTTGCTAATGAAAATGCACACCCGTTTTACAGGTCTAATTTATTTGTTTGCAGCAGAAAAGCCAGAAGCAGAATCTCATATCTCCCTCGACACCCGAAGCGGTACAAAAAATTAGGAAAAAGAAGGACTGTGGGGGAGGCCGGGGAGAAGAGATCCACTGCCCCACCTCTGTCCCTAGCTATATGTATGATCAGTTACCCTCTGTATTTATCACACATTTGGCTTGATTCACATCTTCTTCTTCATCATGTTCACTAGTTCACTACAGCATAAATTCTAAAGCTTCCGATAAAAATGGACGCCATCAATCTGTGTATGCTAGTGCATACGCTGAGACAACAGTCTGTCAATATTTTCACAAAGGACTGGGATAAACATTTTGTGTTTTTCACTGGCACAGGAGCGGAGCAACTATGGGGTGACTCGTTTGCTATGAAGCTGAAACAAAGATTACCAAGATTCACTAGTTGTAAACTCAGGTGCAAAAATTATGGTTGTTCGTTCTCTTCTGCACTTTAGTCTTATTCCAGAACTTGAGTTTTGTGTGCATATCTGCCTTACAGATCTGGCTTTTTTGTATGCAGACTGTTGGTTCCTCACATCTCAGTCAGGCAGATGCACCCCAACTTTGAAGAAAACAGCCGTAATTTGTCAACTTTTACAACAGGCTTGTTGAGGGAGGTAGTGGTTCTTTTCTATTTATTCCCCACAAAGGAACCCTGAACCCACATGGGAAGAGCCTGGATTCAGCACAATCTTCTTCTGCGTTCTACATCAGTCATGTAAAACATTAAGTCCTGTCTGGGTCACAAATAGGACTGTGCATTTAAGGTCGCCACCGGTTCCCTGATTGTTTCTCTTGCAGTGTAACCCTAACCCTAACCATTAAGTCCTGTCTGGGTCACAAATAGGACTGTGCATTTAAGGTCGCCACCGGTTCCCCGATTGTTTCTCTTGCAATGTAACCCTAACCATAACCCTTGGACCAGATCCACAGTCTTTGCTGGGAGAAATTAGGGCAGTCCTGCAGTATGTACTCAGGGGTCTGTCTTTCTGCTCCACAATCACAGGCAGCAGATTCTTGTATGCCTATCCTGTACAGGTGTGCTCAAAGACCAGTGTCCTGTCCAAAGTCTAAAAATTGATGTTTGTTATTTCCTGTTCAGTTTGTTGATAATACATTCTTCAATAAGAGATGCATAATTCTCTTCCTAGGATAAGCCTAATATCCTCCCTAATGTGCTTCTCCGTCGCAAAGCTGTTACCCAAATGGGATGTCAGGTGTGACATATACTGCCCAACATCCAATGTTTTCAAAGAACCGGTAGTACTGACTACTCATTACCATAAAGTTTAAATAAAGAAAAGGTCCCTTTCCACACCTCCTGGTGGGTGTATTGGGCATAGAGGGCTAGACCTGTATCTTCTAGACCAATCAGTACTTCGTGGGTGATGGCGGCAAGATGACGGTGACCGCCTTTACTTCCCAGGACTATACCTGGTACCCTTTTAAGGCTGGGTCGACCCGGAAGCCAAGGTCAGTTTGGAAAAAAGTCAAGTTCTGTCAGAGCCTGAATCCACAACCTTCTGATCCGCAGGCGAGCGTCTAACCGCTACACCACAACGGCTCCCCATAACCATAAAGTACTCTAATAAAACTATTTATACACTTCAGTCAGGTGTCAGAGATTTTCTCGTTTGATTCACATTTGAAAATGACTGCTTGAGTCGCTGGGACTGCTTGAGTTACTGGGTTTCAATCTTTCAGGCTTCAATTCTAGAGCAGAATTTGGAGGGAAAAAACAAGCGAACCGGAATGTACTATACCTGTCTCCCTGTTGAATCTCCACCCTGTCCCGTCCGTCAAAGGACACCATCCCTGTACCTCTGGAGCCTGGATTCAACACAACCTTTGATCAGAGAGGCACACTGTTATATAACTATACTTTACCTGCCCCTTTGATTCAGGTATATAAAAAAAAAAAATCTCCTTCACTGCTAAAAGCTGCCAATTACTGTCTTAATACACCACTTTTGCGGTGTAGGCAGGGGGTGTCTTTGAGTCTGAGGATTGTTTGAACCCAACAAAAAACAAAAACAAAAAAATCCCCAGCCTCACCGAAACTCTGTCACTACTAAGCAAATTATTAGTTTTAAAAAAAAACAAGTTTCTTTTCATACCAGTGATACTACAGGTATTTTTTTTTTCTGCTCACTGACTGTAAATTCTGGCAAACAGTTCTGGTTGTCTGAAAACTTTTGGACTTAATTTCATGTTCTGGTTGTTTGTAAACTTTTTTCATGTTCTGGTTGGTTGTAAACTTTCATGTTTTGGTTGTTTGTAAACTATTTTCATGTTCTGGTTGGTTGTAAACTTTCATGTTTTGGTTGTTTGTAAACTATTTTCATGTTCTGGTTGTTTGTAGACTTTTTTGATGTTCCAGAACTTGAGTTTTGTGTACACACCCGTTCAAGATCATTTTACAGATCCGCTTGTTTGTATAGACTGTTGGTTCCTTGCCTCTATGACAGATGTACTCTGATTTTGCAGGAAAAACCCATAATTAGTTGCTTCCTATGACGTGTTTGTGATGAGGGAGGCAGTCTATTCTTTGTTCTCCAAAATGGAGTGCTGGAACCCACCAGGGCTGTTAATGAGACTCAAAACCCTTGCTCTAAAGTTATAAAGTCCAAAGCTGTTTTTGTCACGGGTTTATTTTATAGATGCGTCATTTGGTTCACGGGTGTAATATTTCATAGAGATCCCTGGGACTTGACACCGGAGCTACAGAGTTAGTGATTTGTGTGATTTTCTTGGCAGGCGATTAGCCGTTCCACAGAGCCATGTGGGATAAAACCAGGTGCAATGAAGTGCATTCTCTCGACTAACTAATATAATCTTTAACATTAACATAAACTCTAAACAGTTAGAAAGTGTTAATGTAACAACAGTTTAGTATAGAAACAGTTACTTGAAAAAGAGTGTCAGCACATAAACTGATACATGATGTTGGAGACTGCAGGTTGTGGAGACATCATCGGTGACTGGGTCACCCACTGGCTGGCCAGTAGATGACTTCATCGTGGGTCAGGACAGTATTTGGGTCTGTCTCTTTTGTTTGCATCATCTGCAAAAGTCCTTTTCAGGGCTACTTGGTGGCGAGCAATGCTAAACCATTTTATATGGTGCACATAAACCTAGTCACAATTATAACCTTCTTCTTCAGAGATCTCTGGTCATGCGCATAATCCACTGTGGGTCATAAACTGGGATGTCTTTTCAAGGTCTCTTAGGTTTCCCCAAAGCTTAGTTGTCAGTTCTACTGTGTCAATTATAACCAAAAGCTGCCCTCTTTGGAGATGCTAGGTGAAAGTGATGATTTGTTTATGTTTTCTGCAAAAGCAAGGCAAGTCAAGTTTGTGGACAGACATGATCACCCACACCAGTCGATAAGTAACATAACTGTAATTTTTTTTTACTGGCTATCAGCCTTATGAGTTCTGCTTTGAAAGTTCACCACATTGAAAAAATTAAGATCTAGAGAAAGCAAATCTGAAAGAAAAGCTAGCCAAAAAAAAAAGACACAAATTTTGTGTGTGTTGAAAACTACAATGTTAACTTCCAATATAATGCCATCAGCAGCGGGTAAGACAAATTTTCAGAAACTTCTTCCGTGGTCTAAATGAAGGAATCTACCAGTTCACAGCAATGCACTCGAAGCATTCCCACACATGCTCTGTCCATAATGATGGTACCGACCGACACCTGATTAAAATGAAAAGTTATTTCCCCGCTGAATTAGCTTCTCAAGGTAAGGACTGTCTGTCTGTTCTATTGCACTGCCCACTTGATCCCAGAAAGCCTTTACCACATTTACTTTATCCTAAAGTAGCTTGCCGCCAGAGGAGCAGCAGCCAATCTATCCACCTGCTCATCACCCTACATACCTGAATATTGTTTTCATTATTTTTTCAGTCCCAAGATTGAATATGAAAAAAAAAAACGAAGTGATACGATGATTAGTTAATAAGAAATGTAAAGGAAAATCATGAAGCAATATGGGTCATACGAGTAGAGATTCCATGTCACAGCATTCAGGACAAGCTCATATCAGATCCGTCTCCCTCCTCAATGGCCACACTGATGATGCCGGGTGTCATCTGGTTAGCTACTCGGCTACCCCTTGAAGCGATATGATGATTTGTTAATAAAACAGTACAAGGAAAGAAACCATACCCTGATTTCGACACCAGCTGGAACAACCACAGGCCGAAATGATAATGAATGAGGGCAAATTGGGGTCACGAGTATGCAAGGGACACTGGGATGGATCATGGATGCTCCGGCTGCCACAGCGTAGGCGGTACTTCCTGTTGGGGTTGAAATGATTAAACCTGTGGAATATTTAATTACACGATTAGGCGTTTCTACAATGTACAACAGATTCACTAACCATCATCATCATTGTCATGCAGTGCCGTTATATATTACATAGGTCTTGCAGTCGATTCTGCGCAATCAACTTAATATCATGGATGAAATCCAGTCCAGCATGTTTGGCCTTTCTTATAAAATACAACTGCTGTGTGAAAGGTGAATGTTTGGAAGGGGTGAATGTTTGGGCCCCACTGTGGGGAAAAGGAACAGATTCATTGCCTACACAAAAAAGGCATGTCATAAGAGTAGACTAACTGGGAGCTTCCTTTGAAGTCGGAATCCATCTGCCCAAGCGGCAAGGAAAAACCAACTGCACACACAAAGATGCCAGTAAAACAGATGTTCATGCAAAACTCAGGCCCTGGCACAAAGCCAAAGTCCAAACAGACGAACAGCTAGAACTTTTAGCCAGAGTTTACAGTCAGTGAACAAAGAAGAAGAAGAAGAAGAAGAAGAAGAAGAAGAAGAAGAAGAAGAAGATGAAGAAGATGAAGAAGAAGAAGAAGAAGAAGAAGGGATGAATGGATGATAGGCCTGCATACGGAATTTATGACCCATCATCAATGTTTGTTTTAGGACTTCTCTTAAACTTTCTTGTTCGTCAACTCCCCCTTTTTCCCATTTCAGTGCCTGTTTGGTGTTTCTCTGCTCTTTTCTTCTTGGGACGTGTCCAATTTAGCACCATCTGCTTTGTCTTATAACTGTTGTGAACCAATGGCTGCCCAAACATTTCTCTTATTCACTATCCACACACAAGGAAAAACGTGGACATGGAGAAGGGCAGGGTCAGGTGGTGGTGGAGAACAGACTCACTGCTCTTTAAGGTTTTAAAATGTGACTAATTAAAGGTCTGCTGAAAGTGAATGTAGTTGCCTGAAAGATGCAGATATCACAGCCTGGCTGTAAATTACAATATAACCTGCTAACTGCCAAGGACGGAGAAGAAGAAGAAGCAGAAAAGGAAGTAGAAGTAGAGAAGGAGGAGGAGAAGAAGAAGAAGAAGAAACATGCAGTGTAAATGTTTACCATCTCCTTGAACTGTAGTCACATGTCTGCCTTCAATGTAAAGGTCAAGGTTACTGAGATATGAAGATGGACCCCTGTCAATGACGATTTCATTCAGAACCTGGAAACACAAAAGTGAGGTATGCTTTTCTTCACTGGTAAGCACGGTATAGAATCTTGATTTTACCTTTGGCACACCAGGTATGTACTTCTTCTTCTGCCTTCTATCCCCCCCAGTAGAGCATAGGCCCTCAACTACCTCGCGTCAAGTCGTTCTATCCTTTGCTTTTGTACTTAGCTCACTCAATATCCTCCCCATTATTTTCTTGACTTCACTCTTTAGCTCCCTTCTTCATGTGTTCTTGGTCTGCCAACCCAGCACTAACCTCAGTCACCTCTCACAACATGCCTGGTAGAGGTGCAGTGTCACTACTCTTTGCTTTCCGAGAGGGCCCTGGTAACACACAGGTGAGGCATACACTGCTGGATCTATATTTATATAGGCCAATCAGTACTCCTCGGGCGATGATGGCGACATCATGCCGGCCTCCTTCATTTCCCAGGACATTCCTGGCGCCCATTTTTGATTGGGTAAACAGTGCACACGTCAATTTAAACAAAATAAACAAATAAATAAATAAATAAATAATCTCCAGACTTTCATCAGGCCAACACTCACTCACCATTGCACTTCTTGGACGGTTTCCACTGTTTGTTCCTATCTAACATTTCCTTAAGAGGGTAAATGGCACAGTGTGTTAAGGTGTGTTACAACCAGGCTGCGATATCTGCACAACACATCAGATTTCAGCACATTTTTAATTAGTTACCGTTCATGCCCTGCTTGTTCAGTGGGCGTTGGGTCTATTCCTTTTTTTCTCTTAAATTAGTCTGGAGCCCACATGGGGACAACAATTCCAAACAGCAACAACAGACAGAGAATTACTAACAGTAAACATCCACATGACCACATCAGCAGATTCAACAGACAGCAACATACAACAATATTCTGTCTACAAACATGGACACTGCAGGCACAACTACCACATACATAAAATAAGATTATAGTCCCCACAGTGTACCTGTCAACCAGGACCACAAACACCTGAGCACATAACATACTGCAGACCTGCCCACTCTATCTATAACTTTGAAACGACACCTGGTCTCAAAAGCAAAGTGTGCAGAGCAAGCTATGGGGAACCATAAAAGACCTGCTGCTGACATGCAAGTTCATAGAGGCAAACCACCTGATGGTCTGATCTGAGCATACAAAACTGAAAGCAAAGAAGAAAAAGAAGAGAATAAAGAGACATACCATTTTATGTGCCTTCAGAGAATAATGTTCTTTATGTATATGTTTCACGTGAGGAATGCAGCCCGCAGACACCTTGTCGTGGGTTATGACCACACACTTCAGTCGAAATCGTAGCAGCAGAGATGCTGCACCTGCAGCAGGAAATGTCATGAAAAATCTAAAGAAGTGGCAGATCTAGCCACATTCATCATCAACTTCATCATCACTGTTGTCCTGTTATGCCATTGTATATCACACAGGGTTCACAGTCTATTCCCCATTCTATCTTCTTTTGGTCAATTATATGTTACATAGGGCTCATAGTCTATTCCCCATTTTCCCATTCTATCTTCTTTTGGTCAATTATATGTTACAGAGGGGACACAGTCTATTCCCCATTCTATCTTCTTTTGGTCAATTATATGTTACATAGGGCTCACAGTATATTCCCCATTCTATCTTCTTTTAGTCAATTATATGTTACAGAGGGCTCACAGTCTATTCCCCATTCTATCTTCTTTTGGTCAATTATATGTTACAGAGGGCTCACAGTCTATTCCCCATGCTATCTTCTTTTGGTCAATTATATGTTACAGAGGGCTCACAGTCTATTCCAAATTTCATTCTATCCTCTTTTAATTAATTATATGTAACATTGAGGTCACAGTCTATTCCCCATTCCATTCTATACTCTTTTGGTCAATATAGGTGGGTTCACTGTTTTTACTCATGGCAAGATTTTGCTTCTAACAATAGCAGGCCACTGCATTTTCCTTTATGTGTAGACTGAAAGAATATAGTTTCGTAACCCAGCTACTGAGCTGAGTGCATGGTGTGACACTGTGAGCAACTACTGATCTGTGTAAGTGATGCTTCCATGCATTTCTAGTGTCTGAATGTTTGTGTTGGCACTTCTAACAGCTGTCTTATGCATTTAATGTGTCTGCATGCTATTGGATATGCTGAGTCTGTGTCAATTTTTCTACAGGGGACAGTGATGGATATTGGCAACGGAACAGAGCTGCTATGGTGGTGGTGACCCGTTTGCTATGAAGTTGGAACTGAACCTGATTACAATTCTATCCTGTGCAATCTCTTCGATATCATAGATGGAATCACACTCAGCACCTTCGGCTTCTCTCACAACAGGGATGCTTCGAGCAGAGTGGCAAGCTTCACTGGGAAGGTCACGGGTAGTGAGAATACTTTGGATCTTTTCTCCAGGCTATGATGGCGTAGGGTGTAATGAACAGGCAGATAGATTGGCTGGATCTGCACCACTGGGTGGTAAATTGATACATGGCAAGGCAGATGTGGTCAAGGCCCTTTGGGAACAAGCAACGGAATCAGTAGAGAAACAAGATTATGGCCTGGAGAAAAAGAGGCACCTGGGTGTAACTAGCTCACTACACTCAGAGGAAAGGCAAGACGGACATATAGCCAGATTGTGACCAGTACCATCAGTATTGGAACTCTGCGCTGGCTGCTGAAGATGAGGACGGAGCACACATGGGAATGCCCGGAGTGCTGTGATGGCAATTCTTGACTCAACTCAACTCACAACAACTTTCACTGTATGGTTTCTTTTGAAAGTCATTTCAATTATTTCCCATTTTAGTGCCTGTCTGGTGATTCTCTGCTGGTTTCTTCTCAGGATGTATCCAATATGGCACAATCTTCTTTCTCTTATAACTAGCGTTACCAGTGGCTGACCAGACATATCTCTTATTCCTTCACCCTTACTGAAGTCATCTAGTCAGCTTCACAATCATACTTACTTAGTCACTCCTCTTCTACCTTGGGGTGTGGAAGTTTGCCAGAGAGATCGCCAGTCATCTCTATCAGCAGTTTTCTTTCTGGCTTCAGCTTCACAATCACACATGGTAAAATGTTCATCGCGGCTAAAAAGCCTTCAACAGCATAATGCTGGACTGGGATTCTCATCATCATCATCATCAGGTGCCTTGCCAACTGGCGTGGGTGATCATGCCTCTCCATAATCTGCGATCTCCTGCAGCATGTATCAGTTCGTGTGCCGACACACCTCCATGCCATGCAACAAGACTGTCAAGAATCTGGGATTCTACTGTTGCAATAATCACAAAGTGACATTAGGAAAAAGCTATTTAAATATTTAGTACAAGACATCATGGGTTCAATCGTTTCTAAGCAGATTTTTTTAAAAATAATTTAAAAAAAAAAAGATATTAGCTCCTTGGTTGCCCCAGCTTCAAGTGAGTCATGGGAAATAATAATGGCCGGCATGATGCTGACCATATCATCCTCTGTGTGCTGATTGGTCAGTGAAATATAGGTCTCGCACTATATGCCCAATATGCCTAAAGGTGGGGAAAAGGGTCCTTTTAAACAAACAAACAAACAAGACACTATTGAAATCTCAACAACAATGAAAGAGGGCTTTTGCTTTTGTGTGTGTAAAGGATATCACGGACCCCTTACATTTGTTCGGTGGACCCCCTGGGAGACCATGAAACATGAACCACTGCTCTAAACAATGATAAAATACAGCAACAATACCTTCCATGACCCTTGACACTTCGCCTTTGAAATCCTCATAGAACTGGAACGGGGTCAGGAACCCTAGGGATCCCATGTTGAATGCCATGACTGGTGGGACACTACTCTGCAACATTAAAAGTTTTCACACTGTTACCTGTCTACGCAAATTTTCTTCTTCATCTTTTTCTTCTTCTTCTCCTTCTTTTACAAACTGGGTCCCAAAATCCACAGGGGAAAAAGTAGTCTCCGTGTTGCTGTAGCAGAGAACTTCCTTTTTTTTTCTTCTCGTGAGCCAAGTCCTCATCTCACACAACTGGTTCGCTGTTAGCATTTGCTTGACTCTTTCTTACACCAGGTAGCCTGCCTGCGTTTACTGGAGCTGCCTGTGTTTACTGGAGCTGCCTGCATTTACTGGAGCTGCCTGCGTTTAATGAAGCTGCCTGCGTTTAATGAAGCTGCCTGTGTATACTGGAGCTGCCTGTGTTTACTGGAGCTGCCTGTGTTTACTGGAGCTGCCTGTGTTTACTGGAGCTGCCTGTGTTTACTGGAGCTGCCTGTGTTTACTGGAGCTGCCTGTGTTTACTGGAGCTGCCTGTGTTTACTGGAGCTGCCTGTGTTTACTGGAGCTGCCTGTGTATACTGGAGCTGCCATTTACTGGAGCTGCCTGTGTTTACTGGAGCTGCCTGTGTTTACTGGAGCTGCCTGTGTTTACTGAGCTGCCTTGTTTACTGGAGCTGCCTGTGTTTACTGGAGCTGCCTGTGTTTACTGGAGCTGCCTGTGTTTACTGAGCTGCCTGTGTTTACTGGAGCTGCCTGTGTTTACTGGAGCTGCCTGTGTTTACTGGAGCTGCTGTGTATACTGGAGCTGCCTGTGTTTACTGGAGCTGCCTGTGTTTACTGGAGCTGCCTGTGTTTACTGGAGCTGCCTGTGTTTACTGGAGCTGCCTGTGTTTACTGGAGCTGCCTGTGTTTACTGGAGCTGCCTGTGTTTACTGGAGCTGCCTGTGTTTACTGGAGCTGCTTGTGTTTACTGGAGCTGCCTGTGTTTACTGGAGCTGCCTGTGTTTACTGGAGCTGCCTGTGTATACTGGAGCTGCCTGGCATGCTATGCTTTTCTTGGCCTCCATCTGCAGCTTTAAGCCATTCTTGTTAACTGAGCTCCTTTTGTCCCATAGTGTCATCATTGTTTTTAACACACCATAATATTGATAGCAACTACTTACGACCAAGTTCCTTTCTGACTAAAAGGTCGTAAGTCAAATTTGTCCTTAGTGAAATTTTATTCTTCAACATCCTTCAAACTTGGAGTGCATCTCCACAAGAGGCAAGGTATCAATATTCTGCCCATAAATAAGCCAGATCTGTAAAACGGCTGTGCATGCAGATTCTGGGACAAGGCTGAAGTCCAGAAGTGGACAAACAACTAGAACTATCAACCGCGGAGTTAACGGCTGGGGAACGTGAAGAAGCAGCTAGTTGAGGAGAAGGTGTACTAATCAGGAAATGAGAAGTTAAAAAAACAAAAAAACACAAGTGTGAGACTGGAGGGGTTATGAGATGAGGTGGCTAACCTTAGGGGCAACCACCCAGTTGAGTTGTGCCCCAGAGTGCCAGCTATGTAACTACCCCTACGAAACTGTTAAACACCATCTCTTTGAGTGCCCAAAACTCAGTGAGACAAGAAGAACGCTACTCCCTCCGAGACCAGGAGGAAAAGAACAGCTTGTGAAAACATGCAAATTCCACTACATGGCATTGGGCCAAAGGGCGAAAGCTCATGCGCCACTGGATCGATAACAACAACAACAAGTTGTGCTAAGTCAAGAATTGACGTCACAGCACTCTGGGCATTCTCAAATGCGTTCCATCTCCATCTGCAGCAGCCAGCACAGAGTTCTAATACTAATGGCACCAGTCGCAGTCTGGTTATATGTCTGCCCATGTTTCACATGAAGTTCTCAAGTGCACACTGTTTTTCTCACTGTAACCGACATCTTCTTATTGGTGAGAACCTTTTGCATCTTGCCAAACACCACTTTTAGCATGGTGATTCTAATTCTAATTTGCTCACGGCACTTATATTAGATGTTACGACTGTCCCAAGATAGTGTATCTATTAAACTGCTCAAGAATTCTTCCAGTTGCGTGTATTTCACACTTTAGTATTTCTTTCTTCTCGATGAAAATCATAATTTCCATTTTCTGACAATACAGTTCTAAGCCTAGTTTCTTACTGAACTATTACTGTCTCCACTATAACACCGAATATGTTCTTTACCGTCTGCAATTAACACTGCATATCTTATACTGTTAATGTTACATCCTTCCAAGTTAATTCCCTCTATGTCTTCTTGGTATATCATGCCTCTCCACAATCTGCGATCTGCATGTATCAGTTCATGTGTTGACATTCCTCCATGCCATGACAAGAATGCTGTAAAGAATCTTCTCACACTGTCTTCCTCTGTCACTCTTTCCACAGATCTTTCCAGTAGTCACAAAATGTTTCATTTTTCCCTCTTCTCATAACATGACAAAAAAAATGATGACCGTCTCTTATCACACATTTTTAAAAACACAGTTTTTGGCCCCTTGAACTTATTCATTTTAACACGGTTTTTACTGCATTTGCTTTCTTGAAGGGTTCTGATAATGCACAAGTAGTATTAGGGCGCTAATGCTGGCGTAGCTGTTTGTCCTATAGCAGTCAATGCGATGATTCTTAAACTGTAAAATCAACGGACTCTGTTTATTAGTCAACTATACATTTTATTCGTCGGCTCTGTGGCTAAGTCGATGAGAACGCTTCTTAATGCCGGGTTCGATCCCAGCTGCGGGCCATGCGCCTTGCGTTGTTTTCGACAGTGGTTTCTAGAAAGCCATCCGTCCAGAAAGCAATGGCAAATTACTGAATGTAAATTTGCCTAGAAAAACCTACAGGCATGAAATGGGATCTTTACTGTCTTTTACTTAACATATTCTTCACTACAAGAAATGTCGACAAATCCCACATCCCATGCTGACACATTAAAACAAATGAATACTCTGGTATTCTAAAAGCTGAGCCTCAATGTCTCTTGGAAAACCTATTATCTAAATGGTTCAATTAGGCATCAGACTTGCAACTCTATCCCTCTCTGTCATTCTCTCTATCTCTCTCTTTTTTTCTCTTTACTAGCATTAACACATCTAACAAGAAGCTCCAAATGCATGTAGCTGATTTTCTCCTTTTCCAAACAAAATCATAAATATTCTACTTTATTGATTTCCACAATCAAACTCTCCACTGTAAAAGACACACAATTAGTTTTCCCCCTTAAACTAATACAGCACAGCTAATATAAACAGCTCATTTCAATCAACTTATGCTAATTGATTTGTCATACACATATTATGTTCCCTTGTCCAGTTAGGCAAATGGTGATTGCTGACACAAGGTAACCTTAGTGCTTCAACATAATCTGCCACATCGTCAACAATTGCAGATGTCCTTCTTCTCCTCCTCATGGTGCTCCTGGTTGTTGTTCATCTATTTGTTCTTGCTTTCAATCTTCTTCCTCTTCTTCTTCTTCCTCTTCTTCTTCTTCTTCTTTTTCCTCTTCTTCTTCTTCCTCTTCTTCTTCTTCCTCTTTTTCTTCTTTTTCCTCTTCTTCTTCTTTTTCCTCTTCTTCTTCTTCCTCTTCTTCTTCTTCTTCTTCTTCCTCTTCTTCTTCTTCCTCTTCTTTTTCCTCTTCTTCTTCTTCCTCTTCTTCTTCTTCCTCTTCTTCTTCCTCTTCTTCTTCTTCCTCTTCAGCCATCAATTACACTTCAGGATCATGCCATCTTGTTGTGTTTTGTCTAACTGGCAAAGGCTGGGTAATCTTGTCAGATATACTCTGGAGTTTGCTTTGGAAGTGAAGCAACTGAGCTGTGACAGTGTAGTAGCCAGACTGGCCCAAAAGTCTTGGGCTCAAACCTGCATTGAAACAGACTGTTTTCACAATAGATCAGGTTGACCCGTCTAAAATAAGTACCAGATATTGTCACAGGATGTAAAGGCGGCCGACTAAATTCACTACCGAGTACCGACTGGTTTTATAAAAATAAGTCTAGCAAAATATTCCTGATGGACACTGGTGTAAGAGGGACTCAGAAGGGAAGCAAGGATTGAGCAAGACTAAGAGTTCAGTTATGGGATGTACATACTTGAAATAATGAGGACACATACAGCAAGGTTCCGTCACCGCCCAGACATATAATGAAGTCCACTTTGTCTGTTAGGTCATCCACACCTTGGAAGTAAAAGTGACAAGACCACAGTTAATACTGGCACATAAAATGACAACACTGTATTGTTAAAACTAGGACATAAAGTGATAAGGCTGTATTGTTAACACTGGCACATGAAGTGACGAGGCTGTATTGTTAATACTGGCACATAAAGCGACAAGAATGTATTGTTTTATACTGGCACACAAAGTGACATGGCTGTATTGCTTATACTAGCACATAAAGATGCAATGTTAATACTGCTACATAAAGATGCAATGCTAATACTGGCACACAAAGATATAAAGATGCAATGTTAAATACTGGCACATAAAGATATAAGGATGCAATGTTCAATACTGGCACATAAAGTTATAAAGATGCAATGTAAATACTGGCACATAAAGATATAAAGATACAATGAAATACTGGCACATAGACATACAGGACAACAGCACATCTGTACATCCACATGCATCTCATTAAACACTGATTCTTCCCGATTCACAGCCAAACTTCAAACACTCACCTTCCTTAAACACCCGGAGCCTGTCCTTCACCAGTTGAAACTTCTCGTCCATCTGAAGGAACGGCTCCTCCAGCACCATCTTCTCCACATGCACAATCATGTTTTTCTCCTGGCAACAACAACAACAATCTTGTCAGTAAAGTAAAGGACCCCTTTCTCACCTTTGGCACACAACAGGCGGACATATGGTCTTCTTCTTCTTCTTAGCGTTCACCGGCACATCTATGCTACAGATCTGGCTTATTTGTGAGCAGACTGTTGGTTCCTCGCCTCTCAGGCAGATACACTCCAACATTGAAGGAAACATCCCTAATTAGTTGTCTCCTCCCCGTGTGGGTTCCAGGGCCCTACTATAGGGAAAACAAGAATGTATCCACTGCCTACCCAAAAGCATGTTGTAAGAGTAGACTTATTGGGAGCTTCCTTCGAAGTCGGAATGCATCTGCCCAAGAGGCAAGGAACCAGCAGTCTGCATACAAATGAGTCAGATCTGTAAAACGGATGCACACGCAACACACGGTTCTAGAACAGGACTACAGTCCAGAAGTGGATGAACAACCGCCAGAGTTTACAGCTGGTGAACGCGAAGAAGAAGAAGCAGAAGTTGCCTCCTAGGACATGCTTGTCAGGACCAGTAGGTCTGTTCTCTGTTCCCAGAAAAACAGCTTTGGAACCAACATGAGAAGGTCAAACAGTTAAACCTATATACTTACAAACCAATCAGCACACAGTGGGTGATGCGGTGAACATCAAGCTGGCCGCCTTTACTTCCCAGGATATTACAAAGTAAGTCTGTATCTTCTGCATCTTCCCAAACATACTAGTATTACCTTTTCTTTGGAGTTAACAAAGCAGGCAGAGTAAGAGATCATACTTCATGAGTGACAGTCTGTCTAAAAAAAAAAAAAAAACATCCAGGCTTTGAGGTAAGCAGAGAAGGTAGTTCCACTATGGCCATAACTGGTATCTTCATGGTCTGTAATTGCTGTGCCTCCTTAAAGCACAATGGAACACTATTATTTAATCCTTTCACCTCGTGAATGTTGAAAACATGGGCCGTCAGTTGACAGGAATTTCCGTACAAAAATCCTTTTCCAGTCTAAAATGGAGGATTAGGCATAGCAGAATGCTCAGATAAACATAATCAGAAAACTAACAGACAAAAACACCTCCATTAACCAAATGACTAACAGACAGAAACATACCTCCATTACCCAGATGACCAACAGATAAAACATAACCATCGGACTAACAGATAAAAAACATTACCCCATGACCAACAGATAGACAAAAATGACCATCGATAAAACTAATCAGATTACCCAGATGACCAACAGATAAAACAGAACTATAGGACTAACAGACACACAAAAAAACCTTCATTACCCAAATGACCAACAGATAAAACATGACCATCGGACTAACAGATAAAAACATACCTCCATTAACCAGATAACTAAATCTCTAAATGGAGCCAGAACTGAGTCGTCCTGGTGTTTCCGAATTATCAGTACAGTCAGGGGAGTTTTCAGCCACATGAGCTTTTGGTTGCTGGGATCAGGGATATTTCTGGAAGGCACAACAAATGTTCTATGATTACAAGCTTAAGAACAGTTCTTTAAGCATATATTTTTAAACAATGCTTTACTATTACATTCTAAAATGATCTATAAATGGAATCATGTATGCATGGGTCTGGACAAGAAGAGCAAAATGTAAGTCAGCCATGTATGATCAATTCCTAACGCTGTGGGAAAAAAAAAAGTTCATTTGTTATTGTTTGCCCTCAAAAGAATGACTCGCATATTGTTTTGTGTTTACAGCTAGACTGTGATACCTGTGTGTTTCGGCCCAACAAATCTGATTTCTGCTTTCTTAATTAGTTGTTTTTTTTTACATTATGCTTGTTAAGGGGAAGTCAGTCTAATCTTCTATCCTCAAAAATATGGCCTGAGAATATACACAGTGAAAACAGTTCCAAAAGTAGAAGCTGAATTTTAATTGTGCGAGTATAAACTAGTCATCAACTAAATTGTAATTAAGAATACCTTTGATATTAGTTCTGAAATTGAAAAGAAATATGAATTATGTGGATAAAAGCTAAACAAAATTGTAATTAATGTAGAGCTTTTGAAGCACACCCTCTGAAGATGCTGGAGTTAAAACTATTTCTATGATTACAAACTGAAATATAATTCTGTCAGTAAAAACTAAATATCAGCTATGAAAGCGTCTGATATTAACTGGAACCAAACTTTATTAAAGAAACGACACATGACTGACACATTTTTAATCACATAAGTTGAACCTAGCTATGTGATTAAAAACCAAATGATTGGTACCTTTCCGTCTTTCCAGACAAAATTGTTATACTGCGCTATATGCAGGCATGGGACTCAGCCCATAGTGATGCCGAGTGTGACTAGCAAGAACCCGCCTTGTTAAGAAAAGTCTTCCACAGTTATAGCATGGGATCCAGAACCCCACTGGGGGGAAAACAAGAATAGACCCACTGCCTCCCCAGCAAGCATGTCATAAGAGTCCACTAATTACAAGCATAGCACTACTTCTTCGAAGTCAGAGTGCATGTGCCTGAGAGGCGATGAAGCAACAGTCTGCAAAGAAATAAGTTGAACCCAGATCTGTCAAGTGCTGAAGAATTAAGCCAGATCAGAAATAGATGAACAAAAACGGACCCCCCCCCCCCACCCCCCCCACCCCTTCAGCCAGTAAACGCAAAAAAAAAAACTTATTCCGGTCCTGAAACTAAGCCAAAATCCAGAAATAGATGAACAACCAGGTCTTTCCTCCGGGTTTTACAGCCAGTAAACACAAACAAAAACAACTTATATAAATAACTACAAACAAAAACAATTTTGAAACATCAATATTACATACACAATATCATGCCTATATGCTGTCCCACTCCTCATCCAGAGGGCATCGTACATTTCAAAGGGTCGTATTGCCCTAAAAAACCTTAATCGCAGTCGCTGCTTTCGTTTCACCACCATTGTTTCTTCAAGTTCCATTTCTGACACCGAAGCTTGAAACTAGTATGTCTCAGGAGTTTTATTTTGCCCCCTGAATTGAATTCAGGTTGTCATTGGTAGATGGTTCCAAGAGGGGATAATTCTTGTGGTGTATATGTTTGATAAAGACACCAATTTGTTGACGGTGACATACGGGTCTTGCTGCTGCCATGTCCAAAAACTAATTAATTTTTATCTTTTCCCTCTGTGAATTCTATTTTTAAAAATTAGGCCACGAAACCATGGGAATTTCAAGAAAAAAAAGTACTTTCAAGACAACATTCTACAAAGGTCACATATAAATATTTAAAAAATATATTTATCTACATTTTAAATATATAAAGATAAATAAATGGGTAATCAACCAACATGACAATGAATAGGACACTAGAAGAGAAAATAACTGAACATGCGCTGTCTCCGCAAGTTTACTAAGAAGAGATAGGGTTACGAATACCAGCATTAAAGAGAAACTTGGAATAAGAACATGTCTGGATTATATTGACAAAGAATGAAATGGTTCAACCATCTAGTGAGAATGCAGCCAGACCAAACCGCAAATAAGACTTCTTACATCAGAACATCTGGGAGGAAGGGAGGAAGGGAAGAGAAAGACCAAGAAAGATATGGATAAACAGTGTAACCAAAACCTGCAAAATAATAACAAATCCATAACTCAAGCCACTTGAGAAGCGCAATACAAATACAGAAAACCACGACACATGGCTACAACCTGGTATCAGTGAGACGACAAAAGAAGAATAAACACGAATGGAGTGACACAATAAATGGAAGATATTTCCTGGTGGCCCCCCAAAAAAAACACAACTGATATTTATCAGGTGACTCATGCTGCAGCTCCGCACCCGCAACCTCTATCACTGAGGCTTACAGGAAAATTTGACATCAACTTGACTTTAAAAAAAAAACACTGCGGTCATAAGGAAACATCTAAATGCTACAGTTAGTTATAATATTCATATTTCTGGCCCATTAAACACTGTGCAGGTGCACACAGAACCAATGCAATTTAACTTAATCACAGGGGATTAAGCACGAGGGGATCAGCAAATCTTGCTTTCATTGGGCTTCTAGGTAAGAACCACTGAACGTATGATGCGTTCCTAGGGACTGAAAGAGTTAAGCATTTCTCCATATCCCTGGCAAGGTTAGTGGATATGAGGTTACAAAAAGGAGCTGCCAGAGATGAAACTTTCAATAAGGGTACAAGATGTCTGATTAATCAAACACAGAAAGGGCGTAAAGAGTCATTTTATGCTGGTACAGTAACTTATCAATCGATCAAACAGTTTGTTCCCTCTGGGCTGTTACCTAAAGGTTTATCATATTCTTCTAAGAAAAAATAAATTTTAACCTGGATGGTGAACCATACAGGCAGATCCCAAAAGAAGATATAATTAGGGCATCTGCAGCGGCTACACCAACCAGTTGTAACCTGGTGCCCTTTGCAGGTTAAGGGCCAAGCTTCTGAGAAGACCAGGAGCACTTATAGATCTGGCTGTAGTACTATGATGATAGTCCTCATTAGGGTTCTTCTTCTAGAAAAAGGTGCCAGCACTCCTCATTAAGTGTCTATCACAGTCACACACAAAAAAGGACCTAACAAAAAAAAACAGTTATGGTACTGCATACCATTGCCCCAAGGAAAAAGGCCCTGGTCATCATTAATTACAAATCCCCGCGTGGGTTCTGGGATTCTATTATGAGGAAAAGGTAAAAAAAAAAGAGTAGACCCATTGACTCCCTAACAAGCAGGTCGTCAGTTTTGACTTTTTTAGGTATTTCCTCTGAAGCTGGAGGGCATCTGCCTAAGAGGAAAGGAACCAACATTCTGCATACAAATAATCTGTAAAATGAATGTGCACACAAAACTGAGGATCTGGAATAAGACTCAAGTCCAGGTGTGGCTAAACATCCTCAACTTTCTGCCAGAGTTTACTGGTAGTGAAAGTCGAGAGAAAAAGAAGATTAATAACGAAAAAACTGGCCACTAATGGCGCTAGCTAACAAACTTTTAATGATAAAAATGGATAATCTAATATATATTTTTCCTCCAAGATTGCAGTCTGTAGGATCAATTTCTCCTGGATGAGAATCAAACTGAAGCAAATCCATACAACCCTGTTCAGCTCTAAAACAAATATACTGCAGTGCCCTAGTCTAGTGTTACAAAGTAACCCGTAGTCCGATGTGGGGGGATCAGTGCCTGTCCAACACACAATATTATTTCCAATACAGATAGGTCACTTCAGTTTTATTTTGCTTATATACCCTATGGAATAACACGAACAGCAGAACGGAATAAATACAATAAATTGCCGACATGAACCTAGGGCTATGAACTGATCATCTCGTGGATACGGTAAAATACACACAATAAAATATAACACTGTTACGACCAGCATCACATAACGATAACGGTCGTGTTACGGTGAAAGGGAGATGAAACAATTTACATACGATCCTGGGTCAATAGGCAATACGCCAGGAAATGGCAAACTGGCAATGGAAAAATTATCGGCAGGAATGTATAATCGAGAATTAGAGAAGGCCCATTTGAATTTATAAACAGGAATGTCTGCTCAAGTGTGACTAGTGAGACTTTAATTTCTCTCACTCTATCTCTTTCTCTCACTCTCTTGCTCTCTGATACACAACTACACAAATATGCTCAGATTTTTATTATCACCATTAAATGGCTTGCTGACTACATATATAGAACCGTCGTCTCCTTGTGGGATGCAATTTTTTAGTTACTCTGAAGCTGGGGGCCCTAAATATAGCCTAACGGCTGAACAGGATTTGTGGGACCTCTCCACGGGAGATCCTCATCCGCAAGGTGGCACTTTGTGTCACCGGGTGTTTATCACTTGTGTGCTGTCCTGGTGGGGAACAACTTACACACATACATACTTGCCGACTGGCAAGGGCAATCACTTTTCTACACAGCCTGCAATCTGCAGCATATTGGTCATGTCATGAGAAGAAGGAAACTGGAAAGATCGATGAAAAATGAGGCAGAGAAAGACGATGCTGGAAGATTTTTCTCAGCCTTTTGTCATAGTATGGAGGAGTGTCAGCACAGGAAATGATTCATGCGACTGAGGACTGCAGGATGTGGAGGGCATGATTGCCCATGCCAGGCAGCAAGGCACTCGATGATACATACCTACACGCATATATACACACACACAATCATTTTTTACCAATAAATAAAAGTAAAGATTCCTTTTCACGCCATTAGGCGCATCAGGCATATGGGAAGAGCAACCATATTTTTACAAACCATTTGGAAATAGATGGGTAATATGGTCAGCTTTACGCCGGCCGTGTTAACTTTCCCAGGAAGGGGTCCTGGTACCCATATAGGCTGGGTCGACTTGTGCTGCCCCATACCACGATAAAAAATCCACGCAGCCAGCAGTGGGTTTCCATCGCAGTATGTTGGAATTATGAGTCGGACTCATAACACCTAAGCCACGTTTTTTACCATAAAGGGCTATTGAATTGGTACTGAAGTGCCCTCACAACATTTATTCAGATGTTTGTGATTTCACAAGGCAATTTTACATTCAGTATTTTCTCACTACTGAATGAACAGTCAGCTCTGGATACCACTGTCGAAAACAAATGCACGGCAGTCTGCTGCCAAATTGCCTGCATCTGGAATAAAAACCAGGCAACTTGAAATTACAAAGCGCCCACTAACACCGATAAATTAAGTTACTAAGCCATATGTCTCAAACTGTGAAGTGTGTGCCTTCAAGTTATAGACTGCATTAATTGGTCGATTCATATATTCAGTGTTTCAAAAATAAACACACACACACACACATACATCGCTCTCATCACAGTCTGCCTGAAAGAAACTCGATCTCTCGCCAGTTCTCCCGCCTCATGTACTTTCACACTCAAGGAGTCCCTTATATCCTGTGCCTATCTTTGTGTCGGTCGGCCCCTGCCCCTCCTTCCTGGTACCATGCCTTCTGCTATAATTTTTTTCCAGTCCGTCGTGGCACTTGATATGACCAAAATATTTCAGCTTCTGAGACAGGATGCTGTCTATTAGCCAATCTTCCTTGATGTACAGATCTTTCAAGATGTCATTATTTCTCCTCCTCTTTGTCTAAGATATTCTGAGAATCTTTCTATAGCATTTCGGCTCAAAGCTCCTATTCTCTTTCTTAAGGACAGAGATAGTCCACGACTCACGATGTATGTATAAATATAAATATGTATATATTTATATATGACTAAAGGGTCAAACAGAGAAGCTGGAACGTAGACAAAATGAAGCCATGCAAGTCATTCTGGGATGTACACAGGACCAATTGTGTGCATCTGGCACACACTTTCATTGCCGAACGTATGTGAAAGATACAAGGTGTTACAGGTGTTCAAATCTAAATGGATATGGAACACCTTCTACATGAGGCCTTGGGAGACAACAAGGGTCATTGGCTGAAAAGAGGTAGCTCTCGATGGCACAGGCAGAAGTCAGGATCAGAACTGTTTGTGCTACTGACAAGATAGGGCATGGTGAGGAATAGGTTACAGTGCCGCCCAGCATAACAGACTTACACAGAGTGACAGTTACCTTGGATCGATGGTACCAGATGGATAGCTGGTGAGAACAGACCAAATGCCCCCCCTCCCCCCACCAAAAAAGCATGTTGTAAAATGCCACTAATTAAGGGTTTGTCGAAATCTGATGTTTTGACCCAAAAGGCGTAGATTTTGCAGCCTAGCAGTTAACCATAATACAACAAGTCAACTGCTAATTTAAGTACCAGCGCTGATGACGAAAAAGAAGATGATAATGATGATGGTGAGAAGATCATAATAGCAACAATAATAATGACAAAAACTTTATTTGTGAGCCTTCAAGGGTAACCCTTAGCACACCCAACCATGCTACACCAGCCCACTTTAACAGTACTACAGCCAAGCCAGGTAACCTGTTATCAATCAAGAACAATAACGTTGCCTGTGATATACTGACACAGGTACCACTTCAGATGCAATCATGCAATGTCTGTTACAATAGGGCTAATTTCACTGCACTGCTGTCCTTCCTATGGGTTGGTGCTTGTTAATTTTACCTGTGTTGGTTCTGGGGCCCACTGGAAAGGTGGCCGAGGGGGGGGGGGTGGGGGGGGGATGGTGGATGGGAAGAAGAACAGACCTGCTGCCCTCCTAAAAAAGCATGTCACACGAGGCTACTAATTAGAGATGTTTCCTTTAAGTCGCAGTGCTTCTGCTTAAAGAGGGAAAGAACAACAGTCTGCATACAAATAAGCCAGATCTGTAAAACAAATGTGCATGCAAAATTCAAGTTCTGGAACAAGACTGAAGTCCAAAAGTGGATGAACAACCAGAACTTTCCGCCCGAGTTGACAGCTGCTGAACACCAACAAGAAGAAGAAGAAACACTGATGCTATCTTGAACACAATAAAGCTAATTTTGCTGCTCAGCTGTCAGATAAGTGGCTGTGTTGTAATTTCAAGTCAATCCATCAATCAATCAAACATACAAAGACAGCAAATCAAATGGTTTGCCCACTAGCTGAGAATGCCTTCTGATGCTATACCATACAATGCATATACCAAAAGAGGAAAAGGACGTAGAGCAAGAGGTAGACCAAGAACAACATGGGTGGGAAGATAACACCAGAGAATGAAGCACCATGATGTGTCTATGGTCAAGGCAGCCAGAAGAGCACGAAGCGGGACCTTATATCTCCCTCTGACACCCGAAGCGGTAAATGAGGACGTAGAGAAAAAGAAGAATCAATCAAATTTCAACTGCAGTCTCCTCAGAACTTCTGCATTTGACTTAAATATGTCTCCTTCTTCTGTATATCCATAATTCCAGAGACTTGGTTTGATTTTTTGAGTTGCTTGTTCACTGTTCAGGTTTCTGCACCACACAGCAGGGTTGAGTATATATAACATTCGGTGACTTCAAAAGCCACTTCTAACTGGCCTGCCTGTTCCAACCACAAGACGAAGCTGTATGGTACACGAGAGGATATGGACTGAACGATAGCTCTCATAAAGGCTTCGGGCCTCCTGATATAAGTTTTCTGACAGAAGGATCAAAGAAGAGAACTGGCCTGCTTTACCAAATTGTTTACAGTCCCCAGTTTTTCCCATAAAAACAGCAAATTTTCAGCGCAGGATATGTGGGTGTACGAAGAAATGTTAACACTGCTATATTGGCTGCACTATGCCACACTCAATGCACAGCACAGTCCAAATAGGGATACTTTTTAATTTAACTCTTTTAATATTAAGCAGGTGTTATGTTAACTCATTCCCCCCATGTGGGTTCTGGGGCCCTCTTATAGGGAAAACAAGAATAGACCCACTGCCTACCCAAAAGCATGTTGTAAGAGTCAACTAACTGGGAGCTTCCTTTGAAGTCGGAGTGCATCTGCCTAAGAGGCAAGGAACCAGCAGTCTGCATACAAATGAGTCAGATCTGTAAAACGGATGCACATGCAACAGTCAGGTATTGAATCAGGACTGCAGTCCAGAAGTGGACGAACAACCAGAACTTTCCACCAGAGTTACAGCTGGTGAACGCAAAGAAGAAGAAGATTAACTCATTCTGCTATAAGAATTTATTGCTTTAACAAACCCAACAAATGAACAAGTTAATACAACAAACATAAATGCATAAGTAATCGTTGGGGCAAAACTGGACAAACATGCACAAACGCAGGTCCTAAAATAAAGCCGAAGTCCAGGAATGGACAAACAGCCAGGAATCTTCACTGCAACTTACAGCTGGTGAGAGCAAATAAATAACAATAATCTTCACGGTGAACACTAATACTCACGAAGAATCGGCTGGTGAGGTTAAAATATATCCTTTAGGTCCAAACTTGCAATTAGGATTGACCCCATAGAGAGAGTTAATAACGCTTCGCCTAAGGAAACCAAAAAAAAAGACTAAAATGTAAAACAAAACAATAAAGAACAGGAAGACACACAATGATCTTACCAAACAATAAAATGAAGACCAAAAAAGCATCTTAGCAAACAATAAGAACATGAACACAAACACTTATGTTAACAAACAAAGAAAATGCGGTCAAAAATTTATCGTAACAAATAATAAAGAACATAAAGGCCAAAATGTATCCTACGAAACAACAAAGAACATGAAGACAAAAATGTGTCTTAACAAACAATAAATAACATAAAGACAAAAAAATCTACCTTCTTTAGCATAAAAAATACATAAAAGACCAAAATTAGGGGTGTTTGTCCACTTCTCAACATTGATTTTATTCCGAACTTGATTGCAGGTGCACATCTATTTTACAGATCCGGCTTATTTGTATGCAGACTGTTAGTTCCTTGTCTCTCAGACAGATGCAATCAACAGCACCTTGTATTTTCCCTTGACAAGAGTTTTGATTTCTGGTAATGACAATGAATGGGAGAGCTGTTTCTCCGTTGTTTCATTTTTTTTGCCAACTTATTTCCTGGTATATCACAGTGAACCAGGATCCACCAGAGAAAAATTAAACTGTTTTTTTTTTTTAGAGTCTGTTTTGCTGACAGATCAGTTCTCTCTCCATGGTGTGTCGATCTGTATATTTCAGTGGAAATGATTCACTGTTCTGTTCTTCATTATAAATAGATTTAATTCAGTAGTAATGCATCTGATGAGATACACAGAAATATGCCAGGCAAAAAATTGGGCAATGCACTGTTTGTGGCCACATTATTTAAATTATAGTGGTACCTTGGTATACAACCCCTTTAGAATAAGTCCAACTTGGTATACGTCCGCTTTAGAATAAGTCCAACATGGTATACATCCCCTTTAGAATAAGTCCAACTTGGTATACATCCCCTTTAGAATAAGACCAACTTGGTATACATCCCCTTTAGAATAAGTCCAACTTGGTATACATCCCCTTTAGAATAAGTCCAACTTGGTATATGTCCACTTTAGAATAAGTCCAACTTGGTATACGTCCCCTTTAGAATAAGTCCAACTTGGTATACATCCCCTTTAGAATAAGTCCATTTGGTATACGTCCTCTTTAGATTTAAGTCCAGCTTGGTATACGTCCCCTTTAGAATATGTCCAACTTAATTACGTCCCCTTTAAAATATGTCCAATTTGGTATATGTCCACTTTAGAATAAGTCCAGCTTGGTATACGTCCCCTTTAGAATATGTCCAACTTAATTACATCCCCTTTAGAATATGTCCAACTTGGTATACATCCCCTTGAGAATATGTCCAACTTGGTATAAGTCCCCTTTAGAATAAGTCCAACTTGGTATTCATCCCCTTTAGAATAAGTCCAACTTGGTATACGTCCTCTTTAGAATAAGTCCAACTTGGTTTTCGTCCTCTTTAGAATAAGTGGAACTTGGTATACGTCCTCTTTAGAATAAGTCCAGCTTGGTATACATCCCCTTTAGAATAAGTCCAACTTGGTATACATCCCCTTTAGAATAAGTCCAACTTGGTATACGTCCTCTTTAGAACAAGTTTGGTCTCAGTTCAAGGATATGGAATGGATTAAGGACACATAACAGAAGTTCCCACTGCTGGCTGCGTGGATTTTTATCGTGGTATGGGAGGTCGCAGGTCGACCCAGCCTCAAATGGGTACCAGGATGGGCTGTCCTGGGAAAGTAAAGGCGGTCGGCGTAATGCTGACCACATTACCCACCGAGTGCCGACTGGTCTGTAAAAATATGGGTGCTCTTCCCATATGCCCGATGCACCTAAGGGCGTGTAAAGGGATCTTTACTTTTTTTTCACAGAAGTTCCACTGTATTTCTATTCAAACTGGTAAAAAAGTGTTCCTTACTTGTGGCTAATCCTTTGGCTTCGTCTGAATGATGCACTGGGTATAGACCGGAAATTCATCAGATCCTCCTGATGTCCACCAATATAGGAGCGTGTTAGCCTCGTCTCCTCAGGGTCGACAGGATGTGAAACGGCTCTCCCATACTTACTTTCAAAAACTCCAGCATTTTTAATAATTTTTTTCTGTCCATCAGCTTCACTAGATTCATCCACTGGCTTACTGACTGTCTCAACAACTGTTTTGTTCATGTCAAAAGTTACAATTTTTTTGGAGCTTGCGACTTCCACTTGTGACAGATCATGTCCTTCAGTCTGATCAGCTGTGTTTTCTTCTGTTTCACTTACAAATGTGCCATCTGTATACCTGCGGCTACGTTTACGTAACTTGGTAGGGCCAGATTTGCTACCAGATTTTTTATACTTTTTAGGAGAGTGACAGAAAGGAAACTTCCAGAAACAGCACAAACCTTCCTTCACCCCAGGCATGCCATGTTAATAACTTTAGTAACAATTCAACAGTAGCTAGAATCCAACTGTACAACTTTAGCAACAATTAACTGTATTAAGCTAGAATCCAAATGTACAACGTTAGCAACAATTCAACTGTATTTAGCTAGAATCCAACTGTACAACTTTAGCAACAATTCAACTGTATTTAGCTAGAATCCAACTGTACAACGTTAGCAACAATTCAACTCTATTTAGCTAGAATCCAACTGTACAACTTTAGCAACAATTCAACTGTATTTAGCTAGAATCCTACTGTACAACTTTAGCAACAATTCAACTGTACTTAGCTAGAATCCAACTGTACAACTTTACCAAGATGTCAACTACATAAATTTAGCAGGAATTCATCTTTATAACTTTAGCGAAAGTTCAACTGTACATTTTAGCAGGAAGGCAACTGTATATTTTAGCAGGAAGACAACTGTATATTTTAGCAGGAAGGCAACTGTATATTTTAGCAGTAAGGCAAATGTATGACTTTAGCAGGAATGCGGATGTATAAATTTATCAGGAATGAAACTGTATAACTCTTGCAAAAATGCACAGCTGTATAAATTGTACAAATTTAGCAAAGAATCCAACTGTATAACTTTCTGACTTGAGCAGGACTGCAATGGTATAAATTCAACAAGAATTTATAACTATAACTTTAGCAGGAATGTGACTGTCACTTGTTGTCAAGTACCTGTAAGTAGAAGATTGTAATTGTATAAGTAAAAATATTATTTATATGCGTATACAAACAATCAAGCATGCACACACACACTGCCATTAACATCTAACAACCCAAAGCTCATCTATTTACTCATACACATTATCCAATTACATATATCCTTCCTTTAACCATTGTTCTTCACCCAGTGGGCCAAGGGAAAGGTCCTAGTTGTGCACTCTCTCAGACTGTTGCCCATCCCTCTCTTGATGTTGTCCTCCCACTTGTATCACTGCCTACCTCTTGCTCTCCTGCCTCAACCTTTCCCACCAGCATGGTTTTTAAAAGTGTTATGTTTTTTAATGAGGCCAAAGTATTTTAACTGTCTCTTTTTTATTTCTTTCAGCAATTCTCTTTTCATTTGTAGCCTTTCCAGAACCTCTGTATTGGACTGCTGATGTTGCAATAGCTTAAAATTGTGATTCTGTGACTATCTGCATTTATTTTTGCTTCTGTGTATGGTAAGCTGTCAGGTGGGCCTTGAAACAATTTCCATTTTCTTGGTGGGCTGCGGCTGTAAAAAAGTTAAGGAACACTGGCTTAAACCACCATCTGATTACCCACATGATGTGGCCACAACATGCAAACTGTCTCCTGAGGTTCATCATTTCTTTTTCTTCTTCACATTCACCAGCTGTAAAATCCAGCAGAAAGTTTTGGTTGCTTTTCCGCTTCTTGACTCTAGTTTTGTTCCAGAACAGGAATTTTGTTTGCGCATCTGATTTACAGATCTGGCTTTTTTGTAAGCAGACTGTTGGTTCCTTGCCCCTCAGGCAGATGCACTCAAACTTTGAAGGATACACCCCTAATTAGTTGCATCCTATGACATACTTGTGAGGGGTGGGGGATTTTTCTTTGTTCTCCAAAATTAAGCTCCAGAACCCAAACAAAAAAAAAAACATCTTTATTAAATTGTCCATTATCTGGCCATAGTGTTCTCATCATTCTTCAATGACCAGAAGAAAAAAAAATACAAACAATAATAGTTTAAAAAAATTAAGTTTCATTATTTTTTTTTAAAAGGGAGTCACCGTAACACAGCGGCTAGATGCTTGCCGAGGATCGAAAGGTTGTGGATTCGCTTACTCACAAATAGGACTTTTAAAAAAAATGACATTGGCCCTGAGGTCCACCCAGCGATGAGTGGGTACCGGGTGCAGTCCCGGGAAGTAAAGGCGTCCGGCGTGATGCTGACCAAATCACCCATCTTGTGCCAATTGGTCTATAATTGTATGTCACACAGGGATAGTTTATTTGGTTCCATCCTGTCAATCACTTTAATATCATGAGCAGAATCCAGGCCAGCATCTTTGGCCTCTCTGACTAGTGTTCACCTTAGGGTTTCTCCTGGATGTCATTGCTGAACTGAATGTTAAGTCACTCTTTTTTTTCCCAATTTGGTGCCAGCTTGGTGAGGTGATGCTCTGTTCGTGTTCTTCTCTTCTAAGAATGCGTCCAGTAGATACTTATTATTTTAAATATATATATTTGAAACTCAGACGCTTATAGAACCTAGTTTTACTCGTAATTCAGAAACAGAGATCCCTGTGTGGATTCTGGGGCCCTGTTATAGGGAAAACAAGAACAGACCCACTGCCTACCCAAAAGTCGACTATTTGGAAGCTTCCCTAAAAGTTGGAGTGCATCTGCCTGAGAGGCAAGGAATCAGCAGTCTGAATACAAATGAGTCCGATCTGTAAAATAGATGCACACGCAACACTCATGTTCTGGAACAGGACTGCAGTCCAGAAGTGGATGAACAACCAGAACCTTCCGTCAGAGTTTATAGCTGGTGAAGAAAACGAAGAAGGAAACAGCTAGTTATGTAACATTTGCCTGTGACGGTGACTAGCAAGAACATCTTATTATCTATTAAATAACCAAGAGAAACTTTGGATTATTTGTACTTTTTAAGGCTTTTAGTTGTATTAATTGTATAATATATTATATAATGTATATATCATATGCTCATAGTGATTAATATAATCAAGTATACTACTATAGTACTATTTTTATATTGTATATTCACTGAGTTTTGAAAGTAAATTTTCTTATTAATAATATTTGTTTTAAAAAAAAAAAAACGTTTTATATGATTAAATAAGAAGACGACCAACTTGAGAACAGGCTGCAGATGAAAAAGAACACCAACAAGTTACAGATAGCACGCACAACACACTTCTCGGTCTGAACGAAGCGTACTTTGGCCTACAAGTCGGCCCCGGGCCGTTATTTATGGGAGATGAGATCCTCAATCGACAGCCTCCCAACTACTAGGAAACGATTGTCGTTAGAGATAGCAGGCAAGCCGGAAGCGGACGTTTCCTTGTTTCACACTCAAGAGAGGCAGGGGTGTAGTCTGACTTGGTCATTCAATTGGGCACAGTCTCTGCAAGTGATCGAACTTTTAATTTTTTCTCAAAAGGAATCGGAATGATTTGGTCAATCAATGGGGTACCGCTTCCAGAATAAAGGTTGGCTACGAGCAATGGGCACTGGAACCTGGGGTCTTAGAATCTTGAGCCCCCCCCCCCCCATTTCTGGTCCAAAAAATATGTGGGAAGGTGGAGGGGGAGGGGGGGGACTGTCCCTTCCCCAACGATGTATATATGTTCTCTTTGTACCTTATTACACGAGACCAAGCAAGATAATGTGGTGAATGTTGCGAAGTTCTCCCCATCCAGGTCAGCACAGCCCATTTACACACTAGATCACTTTTGACTGGTACTTACCAGGCTCGTCAACTTTGCTGAAGGTTACTGGGCCTGTCCCGGTATACCTTTTGCTCGGAAAGCTTTCTGAGGTGTCTTCCATTTACGTTTTCCTTCTCAGAAAGAAAATACATGTGACGTAGGTTGCAGCACTCTCGGGAGTTTGTGTTAGGGCCAGTTCTGCATGTTTTTGGACCGTTAAAAGCGTTAAAAAAATCCTTGAATATGCAAACGAGAGACACTAGAACCATCATCAGACAAGGCTCAGTCATGTGCCAAATTAACATCCAAGACATACAACAGGTGGCAACGAACCGCCAGACATGAAGAGCTATAACCTTTGCCCTCTGCGCCGCCCTATGCTCAAGAAGAAAGACTACTAACTTGTATAACTGAATACATATTATTAAATTTATTTACCACTTAGCTTATTGGTACTATTTATCCCCCGTGTAAGTTCTGGGGCCCTGTTATAGGGAAAACAAGAATAGACCCACTGCCTACCCGAAAGCATGTTGTAAGAGTCGACTAATTGGGAGCTCCCTTCGAAGTCGGAGTGCATCAGCCTGAGAGGCAAGGAACCAACAGTCGGAACACAAATATGTCAGATCTGTCAAACGGATGCACACGCAACACTCAGGTCTGGAAGAAGACTGCAGTCCAGAAGTGGACGAACAACCAGAACTTTCCACCAGAGTTTACAGCTAATGAACTTAAAGAAGAAGAAGAAGAAGAGTACTATTAATATTATTTTTTAAACGAAGAAATGTAGTACAATAACTATACTATGTACGGACTTCAGGTTACTTGGTAAACGTCTGGGGCCATATTGTAACATAACGTTTAAACGGGCTTTATGGGATTTGAACCTGGGGGATTCTTATCCGAATAGTGACTCTTTGGGTCACTGGGTTTGATCGCTCAATATGCGGTCCTAGTGGGGTTTAAACTTCACCCACCCGAGCTATATAGACAAAAGCCTCTGATAAAGTAAATGGGACTAGCCTGAGAAACATATCAGGAGCATATTATGGATTGTCCATCCAGTTGTGCGAGGCAATGCAAATACTTATAAATTAGCTGCTGCCGAGCCTCTGGGCGGTCATCTATTTTATTATAAAGCGGAATTGATGAAGACTTTCTGTGATTAAAGGGGTTGTACAGTATTACTTATGTCCCTTTCAGGACGTAATTTTTTTCTTATTTGAAGCCCCACTCTGGCTTTTGCCAGGGGCCGCAATATAGGCAGGTCATATATGGCCAAATGTCTGAACGCGGTTTCTGGGACCTCTCCACGGTGATCCTCATCCACATGGTGACACTTTGTGTCATCGGGTGTTTATCGCTTGTGTGATGTCCTGGTGGGGTAAAAAATCCAATCCAATCCAATCCAAAAGACCGAGAATCCATGCAGTGAAAGACTAGTTCAACGGATTGTGAGCGGAAGTTCTGGAAAATGTTCGAAACTAAGGGGGAAACATTATGCGGGCTTTTAACCGGGCAACAACTAGTACTATTAGCTTTGCAGGCTGATGGAGAATTAGAATGAGCAC